GACCCGTGCAGGAGGAAGAATTGGACTAGCAGGATCAGGAGGAGGAGGAGGAGGCTGTCTTTTCCTAAGGGTGAACATGACGGGGAAATCCAGACCAGGAGATCGGGAGCAGGATGACTTGACGAAGAGGGAAAAGAATATGATGAGAGGGAGGAGAAGGAGGAATACAAGCTGGACGAAGAGGAGGAGGAGGAGGAGGAGCAAACGGGGGAAGGGGACGGGGAGGCTGATGAGAAGTTTCCAGAGGAGGGGGAGGAGGAGCAGGGGGAGGAGGAGGAGGAAGGGAGCAAATTGAGGCGGAACCGAAGGCATATGATGAGGAGGAGGAAGAGGAGGAGGAGGAGGAGGAGGAAGAGGAGGAGGAGGAGGGTGAGGAAGAGGAGTTGTACGGCTGCGAGGTTGAAGCTGGATCCGCCTTCAGTGATCAGCGATCAAGGGGAGGAGGAGGAGGAGGAGGAGAGGAGGAGGAGGAGGAGGAGGAGGAAGAGGAGGAGGAGGAGGGTGAGGAAGAGGAGTTGTACGGCTGCGAGGTTGAAACTGGATTCGCCTTCAGTGATCGGCGATCAAGGGGAGGAGGAAGAGGAGGCGGAGGATGAGGAGGAGGGAGGAGGGGAGGAGGGCGGAGGAGGGCGAGGAGGAGGGACAAGGGAGGAGGGAGAAGGGAGGAGGGAGGAGGGAGGGAGGAGGGAGGAGGGACGGAGGAGGAGGAGGAGGAGGAGGAAGAGAAGAGAAGGATGAGGAGGAGGAGGAGCAGGAGGAGGAGGAGGAGGAGGAGAAGAAGAACAAGACACAGACGAACGAGGAGCTGGAGGAGAGGAAGAAATATGAGGTGGAGGGTTCAAAGGAGAAGGAGGAGGAGGATAAGTAGGCGGAGGAGGAGGCGGAGGAGGAGAAGGAGAAGGTTGAGGTGGAGGAGGTGAACAAAAAGAGAAGGAAAACGAGAGGGTGCAGGAGGAGGAGGAGGATGAGGAGGAGAAGGAGGAGGAGAAGGAGGAGGATGAGGAGGAGGAGGAGAAGAAGACTGGGATGGAATGTATAATGAGGAGCATGAAGAGGAAGGACGACGTTGTTGACGACGGCGAGGTCGTTCGGATGTCTCTGCAGGTCTTGGGAGGTCTCCTCGGGCCTCTTCCGAAGGTCGTCGGAGGCCCTCAGAGGCCCCTCGAGGCCTCTGGAGACCCAACAAGCGGCAAAAACATCCTAAAGCGTCGATCTTCGATATTCGACCACCGATCCTCGATCTCCGATCTCCGATCGACGGCGACACGGGTGGCGACAGCGACGTCTGCGACGACGTCGACGGTGATTCTCTCAAGAATCGGCCCCCGGACCTCTCGTGGGTCTTGTGGCGCCTCTTGGCCGGAATTTCTATTAAAATCCAGACGCGGCCACGAAGAGCCTCCTGGAGCCACAAAAGAGTCGCAAACATGGACTTGGCGCCGCTCTCAAGTGTGAGTGTTGCTTCATTGATCCGCTGGATCGACTCGGACCCAGGCAAGCCGAGTTGCAGAACTGCGGGGGAATCGACTGCCTCTGGCGAGTCGTTGTGGGGACAGAGCGCGCGGAGTCAGCGGATGCGGACACGGTCCGAGTCGGTGACGCGGATGCGGCGTACGCGCGAACTGAGGCTCATGCGGGACGCGATGTGCTGATCTCAGGGCCCGGGGAGGCCTTGGTATGTCTATAGTTGTCGTGCATGTGCGTGTTACCTGTTATGCATGTGCGTGTTGACGCTGCAGCATTTTGGCTTGCCACAGGAGTGGAAAAGAGGGTGCAGGTGCTCCCTCCTCGAAGTCCAATCTGCATTGGTAGAGCGGAGCGTGCCGCGCGATAGCAGGCGCTGTCGCACCGGGAGGCACTCGGGTGAGTGCCTGCGGGACGCAACTAGAAGGTGATGAACACGGACAACGGGGGCTCCGGCGGCGCGATCAGGAGGTTCGCCGGGAGTGGAGTCGACGCCTTTCGGGACTACCGATCCTGGAAGAAATGGGCGCGGGCGTACCTCATCGTGCAGAAGGCGAAGGGGACGCCTGCGTCGGCCCTAGGGCCGATGCTTTTCACGCTGCTCGACGACGTCGCCGCCCGAGCACTGGAGATTATTGACATGGACGATCTGGAGCAAGAGGGCGGCGAGCAGCACATATTCGACACACTCGATTCACGCTTCCCCGACGTGGCAGCCCACGACAGGCTCGGCGAGGCGCTGAAGGAGGTGTTCACGATTCGCCTGGCCAGAGGGGAGTCGATGGCGGCCTACTGCGGACGCGCTCAGGCGGCGTTCGCCAAGGGCGAGACTGAAGGCGTGGTGCTGCCAGACATGGCGCGCGGGTACCTGCTGCTGCTGGGAGTGCACATGGCGCCGCAGAACCTCGCAGTCGTCCTGGCGGCGTCGGGCCGATCTTACAAGGAGAAGGACGTGGCGATGGCACTCAGGACGACCTACCCTAACGGCTTAGCGGATTTCGGCCAGCAGTCGAAGGCGTTCGGAGCGAACGTGGCGGTAGAGGAGGCCAACGAGAGCGAAGACGTCGCAGACATCACGGCATTGCTGGCGGGTTTCGACATTGAGGATACTGAGGACGGGGACATCCTGGGCGAGAGTGAGGCCATCGAGATTCTGGTGTCCTGGCGCGACCAGCGGAACAAGATAACGAAATAACAGCTGGCTCGGGGCTTCGGCCCGAAGAGGCCGGACGCGCAGGCGATGGCGAAACGAGTGCGATGCTACAACTGTGACGAGGTCGGTCACTTCAGCAGGGACTGCAAGAAACCACGACGTCAACGCAGGCCGCCACCACGGGACCACAAACACAAGGGCAAGGACGGCGAGAAGCGCGGCGACGCGGTCACGGTCCTCGAGAGTGACTCGGACGAGGGCGTCTTCGTAGCCAGCGACGGCGGGACCGAGGACGTCGACGAGGAAGAGACCTTCGAGTGCGACGTGTGCGAGAACGAGTTCCAGCGGCCCCTGCGCGTCGGCAACCGCAACTACGACGACGAGTGCGACTGCGAGCCGGCGGTCGACGAGGAGGACGAGGATCAGGACATAGACGACTTGTACGAGGCGTACACGGCGGCGAGGGACGACATGGATGATGTGATCGAGGCGTACCGCAGGCTGATCGCGGTGCCCAAGGACGAGGTCTTGCCAGAAGTGCTGACGGCGTCAGCACACGAGCCGGGGTCGGGCGTGGTCGACACCGGGTGCGGCAAGGGAGTCATCGGCGAGGAGACTCTCAAGGAGCACAAGGTGGAGATGGAGAAAGCTGGACTTGCAGTGAAGACGATCAAGCAGACGAGAGCGACGACCTTCCGATTCGGCAACCAGGAGACACTGGAGTCGATCTACACCGTGGAGATGCAGTGCCGAGTGGGCGGACGCCTCTTGGTGCTTCGCCTGTGCGTCGTCCCAGGCGGGACCCCGCTGCTGGTGAGCAAGCCCATGCTCAAGGCCCTCGGCGCGCAGCTGGACATGGAGCGGGACGAGATTCGGTTCGCCCGGATCAACGTCACGGTGCCGCTCCGGGTTGCGGCCAGCGGCCATTACCAGCTGAACCTGTGCGAGATGACGAACGAGGGCGGCAGGAGGATCCAGGCGGCAGAGGTCGACGTGATGATGACGGCTGAGCAGGGCGACGGGATGACGGCGGAGGAGCAGCAGGAGCTCGAGGAGTTCGTCGCAGCGGCGTCGTCGGGTTTTCGCTAGGGATTTAGCCGGGGCCCTGAGGCTGACGGCGACTTGGACGACACCGACGTCCTGTGGTCAGAGGGCGTTACCGATATCATGAGCCGGCGGGCCAAACGGACGCTGGTCAGGGGTGTTCTCGAGGCGCAGGCCCGGCTGGGCCACCGACCGAAGTGCCTGGAGATCTTCTCGATGCCGCGAGTGGCCCCCGTCCTAGAGTCCATGGGGTTCCAGAGCCTCGGCGCTTTCGACCTACAGAACGGCTGGGATGCCCGTCGAGCGGATGACCGTCACAAGATTCTGCACTTGGTCGACGTCGAGGAGCCGGAGTTCGTGGGCATGAGTCCTCCCTGCGGCCCCCTCTCGATTCTGCAGAACCTGACTGTGGAGGAAGCGCGGCGAGACCCGGAAAGGTATCGCCAGGCAGTCAGGGAGGCGGTCGGGTACTTGAGGTTCTGTGCGGTGGTGGCTCGGAGGCAGATCCGAGGAGGTCGCTACTTCGCGCTCGAGGTACCGCCGACGGCGAGATCCTGGGACTGCGCTTCGGTCCTGAGCCTGTGTCGGGTGGCGGGAGTGCACCGCGCGTCGGTCTGTGGGTGCCAAGTGGGTCTGAGAGATCCGGTGACAAAGAAGCTGATGTCCAAGGAGTGGTGCTTCGCGACCAACGCGGACATGCTCAAGTGGGCGCTGAAGGAGCTGCGCTGCCCTCGAGATCATGAGCATCAGTGGTGCTGGGACAGCTCGAAGGGCACCAAGAGGAGCGCGTTCTCGGCGAGGTACCCGGAGGATCTCTGCAGGAAGATAGCTGGCGCCATGGCAAGTCAGCTGGAGGTGGACCGCGTATTCCAGGTGGCCGACGTTCTGACGACGACCGACGACGACGAGGTCATCAAGCGGCGGAAGCTCTCGCTCGAGGCGCCCCTCAGGAGGCTGCACGCCAACCTCGGCCATCCGAGCAGTGAGGACATGGTCAGGATCTTGAAGCACGCCAAGGCAAGTGAGATGGTGTTGGCCCTGGCGCGGACGTTCTCCTGCTCGATCTGCGAAGGACGGCGGCTTCCCGAGGCCGTGCGGCCAGTGAAGGTGCCGTCAAAGATGGCGCCATTGAGGCTGGTTGAGTTGGACGTGAAGGAGTTGCCAGGCTGGAAGGAAGGGATGAAGGTGAAGGCCCTGAACGTCGTCTGCCCTAGCCGCGGTCTTCAGCAGATGTTACCCTTCTTCGTGCAAGAGACTGGCAAGGTGCTGAAGGAGCTCTTCGAGATCGGCTGGAGCCTGCCATATGGGCCTCCTGCGCTTCTCAAGTGCGACGCTGGAA